CTCTGCTATTTTCGACAAAGCCAACTATCAATTCTGTAAAAGCAATTGTATTGGTGGTGCATATACATATGTAGTTTTACAACCTTTAAGGTAACCTCCGACAAGGGTAACGTGCCACCAGTCCGCCGTTGAAGAAAAAACTCACTAAACATCACTGGGCTGGTGGCCAAAAAAGAGAACTTAAGTAAAAGAACATACAACTACTTGCAAGCACTAATAAATCCTTATACATATACATACACTCATATGTACATACACATGTGTGTATTTAATTGAGTTATGTTGAGGTTAAATATTTCCTAGGCCATTAATATTTGTATATGTGCTAGAAGTCCTCGTAAATAACCAAAACTGCTGTAGAGATGCCAAATTTGCAAACTAGCAGCATATTCTAAATATTCTTTATTCAAAAATGGTAAAACTTTGTACATACACTTCGTCTACCCCCGCCTCCTCTTTAGCACATTTAATTGCACTGAAGGATACAAATTTGGCAATGACGTTGTTTGCATTTAGACAACCAGCAGTGAGGGCTGACGGTCTCGAACACAATGCTTGGCTAAAAACAAGTCTTGCCAAGTAACAATGGATGTAGGCTGCATTAACATGTGTCGCTTGCAGAACAGAATAGGAATAGTTCAGTTTGTGATGGTACCCATCCAATGGGAAGCACATATGTATATGTTAATATTTTCTGAGCTATTCTAAATATGCATTTCTCAGCTTGACACATGCGATCATATAGCATAAAGTTTAATTTTAATTCATGGTGGTGTTGCTGGCGTTTCATTTTAGATCGCCCTAAAAGTACAAATTTCAAAACAGTCTCGAAACGTATGGGTGGGAACTAATCCCGAATGTACTCGTCCAATTATGACTACTGAATGTGCTCACAGCGAATATGTAAGACATTACTTACACAATTGAGGGCATGGTAGCCAAAGTACGCTAACTCAACTTAGCAAAAAAATAGAGATGTGACCTAAAAACTCTTAACTAGAAAGGTGCAGCTAATAGCCCGATCATTCCCCGTTTGAATTTCTTATGATGTTATAGTAATCAACAGATAACTGCAATGAAATTATTTGAATTTACCATAAAAGTGTTATAAAAACCGTTGGTAATATTGTCTTATAATTTTTAATGTTTTTGCAGATAGGCTACTTTGCATCTCATCGCGGCAATTGTGAATATAGAAGTCTGTGCATTGTCTTACTTACTGCAGTCCTTCTTTTCGCTTGCCAAAAACATTTTTCTATGTCGGCTCCTGCGCTCGTTTCCATCCTTTCAAGTTATATTTTATTCTTTTTACAAAACTTTACATTTTGTTTTTCTCCACGCTGACGCGCGCCGTTGTTGCCATGTGTGTGTGTTTTTTTAATAGTTTTTTCTTATACCCGGTTCGTTGCTGTTATGGACACATTGGAGGCGAATAAGTTCTTGTCTCATTTTTAGACATAGCAACGCATTAACAGTGGGCTAGATTATGAACTATACCTACAGAAATAAAAATTACGGAACATGAACCTTGTTGTTGTTGTTGTAACAGCAAAGAGTTTTTGGGGAATTTTATTAGAGTAAGAGTGCCGAGCTAGATATAAATCTGGGTCGCACCGGTAACGTAAACACGTCTGTTCTGGGAGCGATGGTCAACTATACTATAAACATAGCCATTGTCTTCGTTATCGCTTCTCAGATTGAGCCAAGCCACAACTTGAATTCAGCAAAAAATTTAGCCAAACAATTATTTATCCGGACGATTTCCATTACAAATTTATTTTCCGCTTTCTTCCGTGAAATGTACCTTTCTTAAAATTTTTGAATAAATGAAAATTTTGTTCCCGAAAGCTTTTTAAAGTGTTTCTTACCTTATCTGGCTTAATGAGACTCGACCTGGCAACGTTTCTATACCTCATGTTCTGCCTCATAGTCATCTTGGCAGAGTTGGAATATAGTATGTATGTACACTGGATTTTCGTTGGCAAAGAAGTTTTGGAAAAATCGCGTAACACTTACCCTAGACTTCAAAACACACACCAAAACACTTTAAAACAAACCTTGGGCTTGCTGTTTAGGCTGTGAGCTGTCGATCATCCCAGCTGATACATTACCGACACCTCTTAGACAAAAATGCGCCACTGACCATTGGCGAAAGCTGGCGGAAAAACAGAGTTATGACCCTTGTTGCAATTATTCTCGAGGCACGACAAAAGTATTGGTTGTCGACGATACAACGTTCGCAATGCATGTCTTCAACTTGAGGAATAAATCTTTTGTCTACAATGTCCCAGATTCAGTTCGAGAGCTCATCAGCCAGTTCGCTTGCTTGAAGATCGCACTGTCCTAGTACCAAAATAATTGAAAATCCTGCATAATACCTCATGTTGTACATGCGTTTTCCCAGCTTTACTTTAATATGGAATCCGCATAATCAAAATCCGGTTTGGTTTCTCTGAGATTGCAAAACCCTGCGATAGAAACCTTGTCGCATTAGTGCCCATGTAAGATAACCTGAAGTTTACCTCCAGGTGCCATTCAGCATCACAAGGCATACTGCCGTTATACATATTTCCTCTTAAAAGAGTCTTTCATGTCAGTTTCCTATCCAGATATACTCCAGAATATTTCACGTCTACGGAATGCCGAAAGGCTTTTTGGCTTAGAAATACCATGGTTGTCTTGGTGGTATTGGCTGCAAGTCCCTAAAATGTGGACAATGCACCAGTCTTAAGTGTAGGAATTATTAAATGTTTGGACAGTAGAGGCTTCTTTAAATAAAAATGTACTCTGAAGTGTCTCTCTCGACATATATTTTTAACATATGTCCACTTAAAAGGTAATCAAATACTCTGAAGACCGAACCTTTGTGACGGTTTAGAAAACATATTTCTCCTCATTTCTCTTATAGATACCATTGAAAGGAGAGAGCTTATCATAGTTTCAAGGACCCTACCACGTCTGGCAGTCAAGCACTTAAGGAAACAAGTAGTATTGGCAAAGAGTCACTCAATGTCAGCGAAGACCCTCATCATGTATGAATTTCTTTGCTTCCAGATCCACTTCCACCTTAGTGACAAGATCGTGACCGGATCTCCCGATTTTGTATGCCTTCTGGTTTGTATTTAGTGACCCTTTCCATAAATTGCCTGACTAAATATTGAGTCTGGGTAAGTAGAAGTTGAGATGGTTACAGAATCCAGATCGTAACTGGGCCAGAATTATGCGGATTTCTCTCGGCAGTTGAAGCTGAAAATCGCCCACAGGTGGACTCTGATGACGCCATTCACAGGAAGGGAGTCTCTGTAGGTACTAAACGTCTCCGTGTAAATGCCAGTACCTACAGTCCCGACGGTTGTGGGTCAGGAGGTTGTTGTACGTAGTGCTGGACCTTGCTGTTCAGTTCATAGAGATGCCTTCTGAAGTGCCCAGGTGGATGGTTTCGCCTCGATGTTCTGATGATCTCGTTTGTATCACTATATTAGGAACTGCTTGCTAAGAATAATGCTGTGCTCTCTTAATGGCAGCATTGGGGCCACACTATGAATGTGCTGTTCTGGCGAAATTAGAAGTCATCCCTGGCTGTCCGGAGTGCTGTGTTGTGGCGTGTTTGTAGCTTCATCCACTGTGTCCTACACGTCCCCGGCGAACACACGGGTGATACATAATTTAGATCCGGCCGGGCAATTACCTTGTATGTTTTCAACAACGTTTCTTTATCTTTGCCCCAACTGCTACCGGGGAACCATTTGAGGACTTTGTTGCGGATCTGTACTTTGCTGGCAATTGCGGTTGTGTGCGCCGAGAAAGAGTGCAGGCTGTCGAATGTTATTCCGAGGATTTCTCGGTTATTCACAGTCAGAATTGCTACGCCGTTGCCTTGAATACTCCGCTGTAGTCCGACCGCTATCGTGTCGGTGGTAAAAATAGTTGCAGAGGATTTCGTAGGAGAGAGGGTTAGGCTTCGTGCAGTGAAGATGCGAGAAAGTTCGGAGAGGTAACCGTTTACTTTGAAGCACAGGTAATCAATTCTATTGCCGCCGGATGCCAATACCTAGCTAATTATTCCAAAGCAACTCAGAAACGCAGCAAAGTTAGGGTATTTATAAAAAAAGATAATAAACAGATGAACAAAAATAACGGGGAATGTATTTTTATCCTTCGCACGTCAAATTTTAGCTTTCATTTAGGTTAGGTCAACGGAGCAGTCCAGAGCTAGGCTGATCGGGGTTTTAATGCTTTGTTGGGAAGCATTCTGGAATATGTTTTTTTTTTTTCTAAGTTCAGCGCTCCGCCACCGGACTACTTTTCATAGCCAACTAAAATTCTCATTACCTCATTTGTCGGCCCTTAAATTGTCGATACACCGTACGATGAATTTGCCTAAAAACGCTCAATTGTTTACCACTGTGCCACCAGCCGTTCCAAGTCGCTGCCGGTGCTTAACGCTTCGTCTAGCCACGTCGCATCCGCACACATGTCGACTAACTAACTGGTTGGATGGCTGCTATGAGCTCTAAGGCGGTCTGGCGCGCGTCTACGGCGCTCATACTTACATATTTACGTATGTACATACATGAATGTATGTGAATGCATTTTTATGTCTCTATTATTGGCAGCCGTCTTGACACCATTGCCACAGTGCGCAACGCTGGCGTGGAGTGCGCGGTATTCAAGACACTGGCGACAACGTTGACACGTTTTACACTTTGTTTGTCGCAAATAACAGAGGACTTTTGCATTTCCAGACATTTGCTTTGATTTATAGAAAAATGTTGCAACTAATGCTCATCTGATTGAGTGTGTAGATGTACATAATATGCACGTGTGCAATTGTGTGTATGTGTGTGAGCGGCGCATATGCCAACGCGCGAATTCCACGGGGCATGACGATGCGCCTTGGCGTTGCAATGCGCTTTATTTTCGTACGGAAGTAACCTTGAGCCAAATAAACTAAATTCCTTTTTTTCACTTTACTATCTGCTTTGTTTTTATTTTTGTAGACACTCCGAGTGGGCATAAATAAATTGTTGCCGACTTCATTCACCGGTACAAAGGGAGCACAGATTGTGCAAAGCAAGCGGCGGCAAGGACGTGCGCTGTAGGTGGCAAGGCTTTTGCAATATATACATACTTAGTTAGCGGCGCTTTACGACAGTCGGTGCTGGCGCGTCAATGTGGAAGAGACAAATTCCAAGGGGCTTGCGTGTAGTGGGTTTGATACATACAAAGACGATAAATGCAACATAGCAAATGAATACAGACGTACGCACGATGCGTTAAATCATCAAAAACACATATCAGCGCGATGGCAGCACAAGCAGATTCGCAGCGCCTGAAGGAGACAGAGACAGCCCACATGGCTAGTAGTGTTGCAACAGTATTAAAGTCAATGTCAACTTCACCTGCAGCACAGCGACAGGGACAGCTGCAACAGCAACAGCAACTCAACCAGCACAGGAAGCCAAAGTCACAGATATATACGCAACCAAAGAGATTCAATTCATCCTCTTTGTTAGACATTGCTGGCATTGACGCGCATGCAAATGCACCCGATAAAGCGTTTGCAAATGGAATTACTCCCGGCGCTACTGTGCCAACGATTCTGCAGCCACAGGCACCGTGCAATTCGGGCGTCTCTTTGAGCTCATTGCCCGATGCGGCTATAGTGCTGCGCGTTCCTTCCACCCTATGCACCACGAATGCCGCCGCACAATTGCATTTGCCGCTAGCTCCAGCATCAGCGGCAGCGTCGACGACCTGTGAACCGCCTGCAGCCGGCGTAGCTACTGTTGGACCGGAAACGCTGGCGACAACTCAGAGCACATGTCGCACTGTCTGCTCGCTGGTCGCTTTGGGGATAGAGCCTGTTGCAATGATGGAGGGGCACGGCCACAAAGAGCCTTTGGCTGACTATCAACGCTGCTGTTGGCCGCCGCCACTATTTATTATACTGGTGTCACTGCTGGAGGTGAGTTTGCGAAAATTACGTTTTAATTTGATGCTGAGATTTTTTTGCAGGCGCTTTTCATTTTGGACATACATATGTATGGTAGACATGGATTTTTTGCATTGCATTTGCTTTAAAAATTCATTTATTCCGGCGCATCTGCCGAGCTTGTTGCTGGTATGGCCAATGTTTGAACAAAGCGAGTAGTGTAAAAAAAAATAAAATAATTAATGCTACAGCAAGGACGAAAATTAAATACGAACGTTCAAAATTCATGCTTCCCATTTCGACCAGCACCAGGTTTGGCGGAACTCACTGCTCAAAACTACAATTTGTTTTTTTTTTGTTTGTTCGCCTGGTAATAATGCTTCGGGTGCTGATATCGAGCTTCTGGCCAAATTCACTTGCAGCCAGCCATACCTACACAAGAAATTTTTCTCTCTGCCAAAAAATGCCTTAATTAAACCTACCGTCAGTCTACACTATGCACTTAACATCTCCAGCTTTGCGCTGGAAGCAGGCTACGCAAAAAGTAATCCATTATTGAACATCTAAAAGCCGAGCCCTTTTATTTGACACCTCATTTCTTGTAGTCCAACGAACAGTGCGGATCTCATTTTTTTTTTGATGGGTGGCAACTCTATAAGAATTTAAAGTACTAAATATAATATTCCTATCGATACAAATTATACTTAAGAAAGGTAGTAATTTTTAATTAAGTGGAAACCCTATTCAAAAACTTAAAGCTTTTGTACATGCGAATGCCAGGCCCTTTCATTTGGTGTCTCATTGCGTAATCCAACGAACGGCGAAATTCTTTTAACTTTTTAATAGGTGGCAACCTTACTCAGAAAAATAATACATTATTGCACATGTAGAGGCTAATCGTTGGACAATGACGGTGCAGAACGGTTGCCTACGCTTATTATTATTTAATATAGTAATTTTATTAACAGGTGGCAGCCCCATTAAAAAGAAAAAAAAAACATTACTGCTTTTCTAGAGGCCAAAACATAAAAATATTTTTTTTTTCACTTTTAATTCCACAGAGATTGAGTAAAAGAAAAATACTGATAAAAATAAAATATTTCACACAAACGGGGTGGAAATTTTGAAACTCCTGCCCACAAACAAAATGTTTGTAAGTCAAATATTAGTGGCATTGTGCTGCTAGGCAGTGTCACACGATTGGGTATTTGCCCGAAGTTGGTGCAAATCGTATCCCAACTGTGTGAATACCCAAATATTTTTCTATATCACGAAAAATAATTTGTTGAAATTTTTCAATACAAGATTGCTGTATTGTACCAATTTTTACCTACAAATAAAAATTGTCAAAATTTTTTTATTTTGTACCAATAGCCTAATGTAAAAGTGCACAAATCTGTACAAATGTAGCAATCAAATGACACAGCCTTAAAAATGTACGCAATTAAAAAAAAAAAATATTAATCAACAAATTTTCGTAAAAATGTCAAATTTTTAATTAGATTCTGAGTATGTAGTTTAATAAAGTAGAAGTAGAATAAAGTACAAGTTTGAAATAGCTAAAAATTACGGTTGATTTTTTAGAATTTTAAAAAAAGTTCGAAATTTGTACGAAAGTTTGTTGAATTTGTTTAATATTGCACAAAGTTGGAAACATGGATTTACACAGGTTTTGTTAAAGAATAAACCTATAATTTAATATAGTAAAATCTCATTTTATTAGTAACAACAATTTTTGGTAGCTTGAAAACTGATTTGGTAGGCTTTTTGGTAGGTACCCAAAAATATTCTCCAGTGGCAAGGTGGGATATTCATATATACATCGACCCTATTAAGCTGGCATTTCAGGGTACTATTTGATATATATAAGTAAAATTTGAAAGTTAGGGGGGGAGGCTCGAGCACCCCCTGCCCCTACCTGGCTACGCCCATGCATACATACATCTCCATTTGGAACATGCTAAAGAGCATTTCTCCATGAATTTTGGCTTGTTTTGTAAGACTATCGTGCCACCATAAAAGAATAAACAAAATCTTTCAAACTGTCTTTCAATTGTCTTACAAAAGACTGGCAACTATTTTAGGCAGAATTGCACTGTTATTTCTTTCGGGGATTTTGTCTATTTAAAGACAGTAGGGGAGGAAACCCTATGCATTCCTTTACTGGTTTTCAATTTCAAATTCATTTTACGAAGTTAAAAACTTTAACTCGCAAAATTCACATTGAAACGATTACGTCAACGTTCTAATAAAAGAAAAAGTTAAACAATTTTCAGAAAGTATTCGTTTCGGCTAAACTTAGTTTAAAAGAAGCGCCTTTTAGTTTATTAAAACTATCTCCTAATAACGGCAATTGCGAAGTTACTGCAGCAGCGTCATTGAACTTCAGTGCTACGGTCGGTGCGGTGCGTTGAAATTGCCTTTTGGGCGGTGCAGGGCGTGAATATGTTGCAGAGAAGGGCAACCAGACACTCTATGTAGTACGGTTTATTTGAATTGAACTTTCAAAGTTGCTCCACAACACTTTGCTAAAAAAGAAAACAAACCAAATACATATATACATACACACATATGTACATAAATAAACAAATGATGGCAGCTAACTCGAGTGAGCTCATATTTCATCAGAGCCATTGTGCAAAAATGGGCAAAATGAAAAAGTCATTTGGGGAGGTGGGCTGCTGGTGTAGCGGCTGAAGTATTCCAAGTAATATCTGTCATGGTCTGTGTTGTGACCAGTGTTGCCACGGACACATTTTTTTATCTACCGAAATTTCCTACCAGATTCAACGAAAACCTATGATTTATTTTTTTTTGGTTTTTAATTTTTTTTTTCAATATCAAGTTTATTAAAAATGTAATACAAAGCATTTAGTAAAACTAAAACGCAGCTAGTAGTACAAAAAAAAAAAAAACAAAAAAAAAATTAACTGTGTATAACAATTAATTTTTCTGTATAGGTTTATACAAATCTCTCTTTACACATACATACATATTATTATTATTATTACGTCAGGAATATTCGAGCTGCGACATGAGAAGATCTGTTGTGCTAAACCCGGCCCACAAAACCTGCAATCCGTCTATAGAGAAAGTCCTATTTTATTCAAGTTGTACCTTAACTTGCAGTGTCAGGATGCCAGTAAGAGTTCTAAGACTTTACCGGGGTAAGTTCATGAAGTCGTTCGGAATTCCTCCTTCAGGGACTTATGAATCACTTTAATTGGTCTCATTCCCTTCGACTTCCGCCAGTGGGCAGCAATTTGAAATTCTTTCCAGCCCCTAAGTAGTTCTGCAATGTATCCTTTAAATGTACCCTTCATATACCGGAACCCACCACAACGTTACGCCATTGTGGGCACCCAAGTGGTTCTGTAGAGTTTTACAGCTGAATGCACCGGTGAAATGTTCATGTAAACAAGGTTGATAAAACTGTTTGAAGATACATATTTTCCGTTTTTTTTCGCTAATAACTATTATTGTCGCAGAACCTACCAAAATCCATTCTAGCCTACCAACCTACCAAATGGATAAAAACCTACCAGTTTTGGTAGGAAAAGCTCATGTGTGGCAACGCTGGTTGTGACCCACAATGGCTTGGTAACTGCCGTTGTAGTGGCAATAATACACGCAAAAACAATTTTACAGGGCCATTCAAATGTGCAGTACGCCCCGAAGCGAAAACTATAGATACGTAGTAGTAATGCAAGCACATCCATTCATCCAACTGTACGTCCGTCCGTCAGTCCATCTGTACATTGTAAGTGAATATATGTATGTATCAGACATCTGCAGCGGGTGCATGATTTTCGTGTATACTCGATCATCTAACAAAACCCGTTTTGCATCGTTCTCTGTATACGAGCAGAAGTATTGTTCGTTATCGACTGAGCTCAAGACGAACATGTTGGCCACAACACCCGATTGCTTTTCATACATACTTGATTGGGTTCGGGTGCTTTGCAGCTCAATATATCCGGGTGTTCGAGTTTCAACCCGAGTGTGCACAAAATTTTCTTGATTGGCTTATGACGTTTTTGTTTCTACAAAAAATGTTGCCTTCTCATCGCGGTGCTCTTAGTTTTTGTGCGTAGAGGGTAAAGAGAAGGTTGAATTTTTCGGTAGTTTGTTTAAGTGTACATTTAACCATTTCTTATATTTTTGCTCATACAAAATGCGGCATCACGACGCCTACATCCATTTAGGTATAAATGTGTGTAGATCGGCGATGCCCAAGCCCTATACACTCGGAGCACATTTATTTTTTGTAAAAGTATTTATGTACCTACATAGTTTTAGGCTGTGTTCTAATATATACACACACAGCTTTCCACGCGAAACTATACGAAATAGATGCAAACACATTTTTGTCTACTTCGCTTCTAATTTTTTCATTGCGTATGCACAAGCACAAAGCAACAACATTTTCGTATGCTTTGTGGGAACATATTGGCGCCAGTTACCTTCAGCGTAAATTTCTTTGTTGTCCTGCATTTTATCGCAATGTTCGGGTGTCCGTTTCATTGTTACACAAATTTTCGGGTTAGCTGCGGGTGTCCGAGTGTGGTGTTCGCTTGTGCTCAATTTATAGCGAGGGTGATCGAACAGACTCGTTCGTAACCAAAGCAGCTGTCGGGTATGCATCTCGATCGAACACATAGTAGCCGAGTGTGGCGTTCGCTTGTGCTTGATTTTTAGTGAGTGTGATCAAAAAGGCTCGATCTACTCAAAGCTGTTCTCTGGTATGTATACATACATAGTTTAGTGCGTAAAAGGGGTGCAAATGTCTATGTTTATACGAGTTAATATTACATTTCATAGTCTAGCACTTGTCTGCCCAATGGAAATAGTAAGTGCTGTTATATTTCTTTGAGTAGTTGGGGGCGAGGGGCCATTTGTTGGCTCAACTATCTGCCGCTCTAACCGACTGCATATACAGTAAGCGTCAAAAATATGAATACGATTTTCTTTTTTTATATTTTCCATACCAAAGTTTTATTATTTTTTTCATCCAACAGCAAAAACAAACAGAA